CCCAAAAAAATCCCAAAAAAATCCCAAAAAAATTCCCTAAAAAATAAAAAAAAAATCCCCAAAATATCCAAAAAAAACCCCAAAAAATCCCTAAAAAATCCCCAAAAAATCACAAAAAAATCCCAAAAAAATCCCAAAAAATTCCCAAAAATTCCCAAAAAATCCCAGGAATTCCCAGGAATTCCCTGCATTCCCATTTTTCCATCTCCAGGGATCTGAAGCTGGATAACGTCATGCTGGACGCTCAGGGCCACGTGAAAATCACCGATTTCGGGATGTGCAAGGAAAACATTTTCCCGGGAAACACCACCCGGACTTTCTGTGGAACCCCCGACTACATCGCTCCAGAGGTGCCCAGAATTCCCAAAATTCCCAAAATTCCCAAAATTCCCGAAATTCCCGGGATTTTGGGGGGATACGGCAAAAAAAAAAGGGGGAAAATTGGATTTTTTGGGGATTTTTGGGGATTTTTTTTGGGATTTTTGGGGGGTTTTGGGGATTTTTGGGGTTTTTGGGGATTGCTGGGATTCCCAGAATTCCTGGAATTCTCAAAATTCCCAAAATTCCCAGGATTTTGGGGGGATACAGCAAAAAAAAGGGGAACAAATTGGATTTTTTTTTAATTTTAGGGGGATTTTTTTGGGGATTTTTGGGTTTTTTTGGGGATTTTTGGGGTTTTTTTGGGGGTTTTGAGGAGTTTGGGAATTTCTGGAATTCCTGGAATTCCCAAAGCTCCCAAAATTCCTGGGATTTGGGGGGAAAACAGCAAAAAAAAAGGGAAAAAAATGGAAATTTTTTTTGGATTTTTTGGGATTTTGGGGGGGGAATTTTTTGAATTTTTGGGGTTTTTTTGGGGGGGATTTTTGGGAATTTTTCAGACTTCGGGAAGGGTAAATTTGGGAATTCCCACAATTCCCACAATTCCCACAATTCCCACAATTCCCAACATTCCAGAACCCCCCCAAAAAAACGCCAAAAAAACCCCCAAATTTCCAATTTTGGCGCCTTTTTCCCGGGTTTTTTCGGGGGGAATTCCCAAATTTTGGGAATTCTTCCGGATTTTGGGAATCTTGGGATAATTTGGGATCCCGAAATTCCCAGATTATCGCCTACCAACCCTATGGAAAATCCGTGGATTGGTGGAGCTTCGGCGTCCTCCTCTACGAGATGCTGGCGGGGCAGGTGAGGAAATTCGGGAATTTTGGGGAATTTTGGGGAATTTTTGGGAATTTTTGGGAATTTTCGGGAATTTTTGGGGGATTTGGGAGCGCCTGCAGAGATTTGGGAAGGATCTGAGGGATTTGGAGGAAAAAATCGGGAATTTTTAAGGGATTTTTGGGAAAAAATTTGGGAATTTTGGAGGGAATTTTGGGATAATTTTTGGGAGATTTTGAGGGATTTTTGGGATAATTTTAAGGGAATTTTGGGGAATTTTTGGGATAATTTTGGGATAAT